GATCACTTTTCGTTTCAATTTTATGAACTTTTTTATTCGCCTTTTCCCGAAGATACCCCCCTAATAGTAGTAAAACTATGCGCTCATATGAATGTAGCCGCCTGCCTCTATCCAAAATAGGCCCGCATTCAGTGTGGGGCTCTTTGTGAAAGAAATACTCTGAACCGGACACTATCAATCCCAAATTCGGGATTTATATAAATAATTCTATGATCCCTCGTGATTATGGCACGTCTTTTTGTAGAAAATAGGAAACTGTGGGATCACAAAATATTAATAATGAGCTCGCGAGCAGACATACGACGCTTCAAAACCATCTCCAAGTTTAAGCCAATAGGAAATATTCCACATTTTTATTTTAAAATGATTTGATTTGTGTCGTTCGAAATTACCAACCTATTTGCGTTATTTGGACAGTCAGTTAAGGCCTGTATGGATGAATTCCTCCATCTGCCTAAATCTTGCCGGTATTTTAGACACTGTAAAAGGTCAATGTTCGTGACATTGATGTATATCTGCAGTATCTGTTGTACGTATGCAGCATCTCTTATGTACATCAGAAGGGCCTATCTGTGGCTTTTTATTGCAACAAAAATTTTGGGGGCTGTTTAGTGTCATTTACCAAATGCTAAAATGTAAAAGTGGACAAAATAAAAATTTTCAACAAGTTAAGCACGCTCCTGGGGTTGGGTCCGAGTTGACTCAGGGTGGGTCCGAGTTGGTCGTGGGTCCGAGTTAGTATTGGGTCCGAGTTGGTTGTGGGTCCGAGTTGGTCATGGGTCCGGGTTAGTATTGGGGCCGAGTTGACATGGGTCCGAGTTGGTCGTGGGTCCGAGTTAGCATGGGTCCGAGTTGGCATGGGTCGAGTTGGTTTGGGTCCGAGTTGACTCGAAACCGGACTAACGCAGTTACGTACAGCATGTACAGTACTTGTAAGTTGTAGTACACCGCAGAGCAACGACGCACATCGATCACGCTCAATCAAACACATCCATGTAATCTGCAGATGCCCCTAAATTGGCAAATTGGAGAGTTTAAGGGAGAAAACGTAGTTCAATCTCTATTTTTCGCTCACTTTGAATCTGAAGAAAATACAGGACGGTTTTTAACGAGGTCGGCACCGCCACGAACAACCACGCGACCTTCTCTGTACGCCGCCATCTTGCCAAATGAATTGCGACTTTATTAATAGAAATCTTGTATGTAACAAATAATTTTATTTAATATTAAATTTACCTTTTTGATAATCTACAGTATTATTGAATGCTTTTGGTGGTAAAATTTTGAATAACATATTTTATTGACGAAAGAGCGAGGGAAAATATTGCAACATTTTCCACAGTATATAATAAACTTAGGAATTGAGTCCGTGGGCATGCGCGTTAAAAATATGTCTTGTGCATATATATGTA